TTTTTTTTTTTTTTTTTTTTTTTTTTTTTTTCGAAGTTACACTAGTAATACATAAAGTTTGCATGTTCAATTTATTTGTTTTTATAGTATTTGGTGCATACTGTACACTGTTTATTACCACCGATTTACAGAATGGAATAATACTGGTGTCTTTCAAATGGCTTTCCATTACAGGAAAACTGTTCTGCTATGCCTCCGCTATCTAAACAATTTGTAGTTCAAAGTTCTTAACTTCTGTAACATTTCATCTCACCTTTCATTTTGAAGAAAAGGTTATTGAAAATATTCTTGTATGATCTTAAAAAGTAGTTTTAAAAATGTCGTGTTTTTTTTGTTTGACAAAATAAATAAATAAACCAGGCTTTTCACATCTAATGCTCACAAACAGTAATGCCATTAGCATCCTATAAAATTACTATAGCTTTTTAACGTGGCTAATTTATTAGTAGAAAGTCAATTTGCAAGACCTTCGGTGCCAGAATTATAAAACTATAAGTATGCAAGTTATATAATCGCTTCAATTAAAGTGAAAATACAAAAGCACAGGTAGCAAAAAAGAAATTCATTGTTGAGAAGTTTTATCTATAATAAGCGATAATTCAAGTATAGAAAAATTAAAAATGTAGTAGATAAAGAGGAATATAAAGTGTTATTAAAGCTAATTTTTTAAAAGTTTATATAGATTAAGCAGTGTCTATCAAAAGTGTCATTTTTGCAACTTCTATTTTTCCTGTGTGCTTGGAACCGCTTCTCCCCTACACAAATTTTAAGCTTTAATGACAACTTAGAAAAAGCTGCACACTTACTCCAAATTTTCTTATTCAACGAGGGAAGTAGTAATCTTAAACTTTCTTAATAAAAATGCGTTGCAAGCTATGTCATCAAAGTGTATCTTCTATATGTTCTAGGGAAAAAACGATTATTACATTGGATCATATCAGTTATTCAAAGCTGTATTTGCACTGTAATCTTTTAGCGTAGATAAACAATTGTTGGTTAACGAATGTAGGCCATTTGACCAAAGTTCTTGGGTTTTAACAAAAACAGAAGTATTAACAACCATATAGCTGTTTTCTCATGAGTATAATTTATTAAAAAATGTTACTGACAATTTGAAAGTAAACAAACTATAAAGCTGTCATTGAAAAACATCTTTCTTCTGAATGTGGCACATTTAGGCAGACCAGTTGTCTTTAACGAACTTTATTTTTCTGGATAACAGTAGTTTTGAAATTTCTCATAGAAAACTTAGCTAACATTTCCTTTGATTTCAGCGACAACAAGGCATTGTTTATTAAAGTGCAAGTTGAAATCTTTACTGTTGAAAAGTAGCATTAGAATAGTTCCTGCTAAAGATATCCATGATCTCCATAACAAAATTTTATCTTATCGCACAATCACTGAACGCCATCGCGGAGGTATAACTTATTTTTCCAGATTCAATTAATATTCTGTAGTATTACATAGCACCACTGTTTTGAAATTTGGAAGAAATAAAGCATTTGTAAGAATAGACTAAAATAACATAATAAATAATGTTCATCACTGGTAAATTTATATAAAACAGTAACAAAAAAAAAATAAAAATAAAGAAAAAACCGACTTTTTTTATCGGAGGACACTTGTACTGTGGAGGTTGCAAGTGTCAGACAAAATCAGCAGGTTGTTGCTCGTGCAGTACATCTGGACCTCGGCGTATATTATTCAGTAAATGATTGGATTTTTTACTACGAAATCTGTTCAACAAAGCTTTGAAAAAAATTTGAAAACAACAGTATATATTTGAGTATTTATATACGTATGTCAAGACAGTAAGGCTGAACAAGTTGATAACGGTGTAAGTGCAAAACTGTAAGGTTAGCATACTAGTATTCAAAGAGAATCACTGGGCCAGAATTAAGAAGAGTTCTCAATATTGAAAGACAATCATGCATTAGTGGAATGAAATCAGATCAGTGACTAATTTTATTAACACTTTAAGAGAAAAATTCAGGTTTATTTAAGAAAAAATGAAATTTTTTTTATTTACATTGAAAATGTAAGAGTAAATGCAAAGCTGAGATGTAAAGGCAACTTTGAAATGCCGTTGTTGAAAAAAATCTATAAATATTGACGAACAAATTGAAACAAGAATTTAGTCTAATCAAAAGAAGCAAACTTTTATAAATGTCGCCTACAATATCGCTTGCTTCCAGTAGAAGTGGTGAAGGAGTTTCCGACGTAAAAACCCAATTCTTGAAGCGATACTACAACTAACCTTTTTCAAAAGACTGCCATCTACAATTCCGTTATAATTCAAATTTTCGCCATCAGAATGGTCAACCTTAAAAATTACCGGTTTTCAATAATCCATTGCTGATTTTGAATTTCCGGACTCATGTTTACAGAGTCTGTTCTTTTACATGGAACCTTCCAAACATCTAAATAAATTTTTGGTTGTTTGCACAAGATTACTTTGATGTTTCTGAAAAAATGTATCTTTAAACTCAAAAAACCGTAAAAACAAAAATTTTAAAAAAAGAGGAAGAATAGAAATGTGCTTACAAAAAAAAAAAAAACAATAAAGAAAAAATTGATAAACCTTCCAATAATATACTACAAAGCACCTTTTCTTGAATACAGCACTAATCTATAAAACTCCAGCCAACAAAAATCACAAATCAGATAAAGTGATCTGTGATTCTCCATCAAAGAAAATGATGTTGTGTAAGATTTAAATGAATTATTGCCGCTCAAAGCAGCCTACATAGATTAGAAATTACCGTTACTCGGATAGACCTATGCATTAACCACCATCAAGTAGAATTTTTAATTAAGAAAAAGTGTAATACCTTTTTTGCTGCCTGAAACCAAAGAAAAGAAAAGAATACTACATGTAGAGCAAGATGACCAGTCATTTGAAGAAACTTACAATGAGAACGAGTATTGCTTATCGTTAAATTGAGGTTAAAGAGATGTTATTTGATGCAACAATGATAACCTTTTGCATACTTTCAACACTAATATTGCGCAGAGCGAGCAAAAAATTCTGAAGTTTTTGAACACCATATAAGGAGTAACAAAGTTAACAACAAGAAGGGATTAGTTCAAGAGACGGCGAGGCCGTTCCTAGACAAGCAATATCTTATATTAAAAAATTTCACCCAAAAGCTTTTTTACATTCGCCATGTTCACTCACAGTCTATCTTAACTTACATAACATAATCAAGGCAGAAAAAAATCTTGAGTTTTATAAAAATCTTGTTAGAAAGCGAGAGAAAGTGGCTAACGATGTGAAAATTGTGAAGAGATAAGCAAATTACTACTAACTAACAAGTTCTTCGTCACCTCATTTTTTACAGAACTTTAATGTAAATCTAAAAAATTAGAAGCAAAAAACTCTCCCGTACTGACCTTCCTCAAAAACTCTTTTCTTTAGCTATTGGCTTATTCTTACTTCCGCCTAATAAGCAACGTATCTGTCTGTTGATAACTGATAATGCTAGGTGAAAGACAGTGAAAGTAGGATCAGTAGCCGACAGTGGACTGATTGCTTCCCCTCAACCTGCTGTTTAATAAAGTATTATGTTTCTGTGAACTAATTTTTCTACTTTTTCTTAAATTAGTTTGATGTTTATTGCGAATTACAGGCTAACTAATTCGCCAAAAATTTTTCGTATTTGTTCAAAAATTTTGATTAAAGCTGGTTTTCTGTAATCTAAGCAACTGTTAAAGAGTTAGTTTTTTAGAAGCTTCTTGACTAGCTAAAAAAAAGAAAAGAAAGCGAGCGGCACTTCTATGCTTATGTCTTCAGTGATTATAGAAAAGTAAATAATATCCTATCTGATAGTCAACAAATGTTTGTCAATAGTCACAGAATAGTTGAATTTTTCAGTCCAAAATTACCGTTAAGCTATTATTGTAAAAGGCAATTTTTTCGACAGCGTTTACTTGCAGCTGTTATGGAAAATTTCAGCAATAAACTTTGAAATCAAAAGAAGTTTCCTCATCAGTTTGTAAGAAAGAAAAGTTAGCGAAAACATATACGTAAAAGGAAAACTAATGCTACAACGAAGTTTTAGTGCAGCTGTTAGGTGCTTTAAATTGTTTTTGGACAAGTTTCGTGTCAAATTGAGGCATTTTTTGTACACGAAAAATCGGTACAGGAGCGAAAACAATAAAACTAACGCAAAAATTGAACTGAAGGACTACAGTTGTTCGTCTGTTTTGCAACTTTTAGCGATAATATCGAATCGTCTTGGCACCTCATT